TCGTAAACCTGGTCATACAAACTCGCGCTATACCCGAGTAAATACGGTGGTCACATTTTTTATCGACTGTAACACATATTCTTTCATGATAATTTAAACATCTAACAGTTGGAAGCGTTTCGTTTTGCCTCTTACAAAAACGAAGATAATCTATAGAGTTTTAAAAGATAGACTGAGTAATATAAGTTAAGAAAGAAAAAAATATTAAAATAGTTAAAGAAATAAAAATGAAGGAATGAAATCGTAAAACGGCTGTCGAAATTAAAGTAAAAAGAAAACAAATCTAAAATCAGGCAAATAAGAAAAGGTAGGAAACATTGAAAGATTACTTTTTTATTGAATATATTACAAATATATGGATATAGATCCGACAGTATTATACGAAAAAAACAAACAAAAATTAATATGCAATTATGCTGTTTTAATGTTAATATAATGTCAACGTCGGACGTTCTGGTTTAGTTTTTCAGGACATATTCATAAAACATAATTAACATTAGACTATATTTAAAACATGAAAAATGGACATAAGAGTAAGACTAATCAAAAATATTGTAATAGTCTAATGTTAATTATGTTTATTTCTGAAGATGTATCTCTAGACCGAAACGTCCGACATTGATATTATATTAACACCAAAACAGGTTCGCCGTATTTTTTCTTCATATATATATATATATATATATATATATATATATATATATATATATATATAGCGAGTCGATCTTAAGAGAGTATAAGCGGAATTTCTTGTGACGCCAACATAATATAATTTTCTAATTTAAGATGGCTGTCACTCAAATGATGGTGTTTATACAGACCATCTCGATGTAGCCCAGCTCGATGAAAGTGAATAAACTGAATTCAGTACATGTGCTTTGTATTACTGTATTACTTGTTCTTCTATTGTTCTCATTATTTTTCGGAAAAAACGAAATACTCTGTTGAGTGTTTCAGTGAACATGACGGCATGACATGACTGATCGTGAATGCGTAATGATGTTCATGTTGCATTCCCAGAACGCGAGGTTTGCCGTTTTTCGAATTTTCGTAAATTTAATTTCGCCGTTACACATTTGAACTAGTTTATCTACAACACTTGTATATCGTTATAATGGGGCCTCACATCAGTGAGGGGGGCCGGTGTGCAACTGAAAGCGTTGAGAGGAAGGCCCCGAAACGGTGCACATTCTCTCCTGATGACCCCAATTTAAAATTCGAGAGGAACACATCAAATTCAGTGAAGTCAAAAGCCGTAGTGAAGCTCGGTGGAAGTGTCATTGGCATGAGGAGCATTAAACATTCAGCTCGCTTCAGGTGAGTTTCAATTACTTTCCAGTAATTTCCTTCTTCGGAAATAGGTGACAAGACTTTCGACCAACTTGTACATTAAAACTAAGTTTTCTTATAATTCTTACTTCTTGTTCTGTTGCTCTCATTACTTTTTGGTATAGGGTAACAAGACTTTCGGACCACCTTCTACATTTGAATTAAGTTTTCTAATGATTACTCTAACACTTGTTCTATTCTTCTCCTTGATTTTTGGTAGTGGTGACAAAACTTTCGGACCACCTTGTAGAATTCATAATAGTTTGTTATTGGCAGATCACAGATCTAACAAATTAGATAAGAAGATGACATTGTCTTGTTGGTACTCTTTTTCTTGTTTTATGGTTTATCAACCCTTTGGGGGTTATTTAAACCTGAAGCACATTTTGGATTGTAAGAGATTTATTATTTATTTATTTATTTATTTATTTATTTGTTTATACATTTTTTTATTTTTTTTTATTTTTTGGATTAACAATTTTTTTATGAATAACAGTTTATTTCAGAAACAATTTCCACTATTAGATCGGGGAGGAGATGTATTCATACCTATCCCAAAGGTATTTATGTATAAGTAAATATAACTCCCACTGGAATTCGGACTCTGTTCACTGATTCTTAATTTCGAGCAGCTATCCATTACACCACCCGCACATCCCAGGAGTGAACGGAGAGAAAGAAGGAAAGAAGGAAGAGATGTAAAGACTATTTTTAAAAAGAAGCTGCGTTGTGACAGAGAAATAGGCGTTGGAGGTGTATTTGTAGGGCAGACTAGCAGATTACGACTGCATTGTTGTTATATAAATACATGTCTATGCACTCTTTTTACAGTGGGCATTCGTTGACTGTCTACACGCGACGACAACGTTCTCCATTTTTTTTTTTGGCTTTTTCTCCTTTACTCCCAACCCATGAAGTTCTCCCCTTCAACCACCGCTTCATCCCCGTTTAATTTGTTTTTTGTTTTTATTTAACTTTCTTTTCAAATTGCTTTGTAGTTTTTGTGCATAATGGACCCGCCCTTTTTACACACCAACAATCGGTCTGAAACACGCCTGTTATTTTAGCCAGCGATGCCGCACAATTCTTCTTTTATTGATTCAAAAATCTTCGCGTGTACCACCTATTCACTCACCCATCCTCCTTCCGACCCGCCCTTATATATTTTATACAGTTCACTATTGATCTTTTTTTTTCTCTCTTTTCTTCTGTTTCTTCATTGCATTTCGCCAAATTTTCTCTTCTCTCTCACTAACTTTTCATTTCTCTGTCTTTCGCCACTTCTCTATATTTCCACTTTCTCTTAATTTTTTCTCTTATTTCTCTAGTCTTTCTCTTGTGTTTCTTTTCACTTTCTCTCTTCTCTCTTGTCTTTGTCTTGTATTTCTCTTTTTTCTCCTGTCTTTCTCCTCTCTTTCTCTTTTGTCTTTCCTCTTTCTCTTTTCTTGTCTTTCCTCTATTTCTTTTTTCTTTTATTTTCCTCTTTTTCTCGTCTTTCTCTTCTTTCTCTTTGTCTTTTCTTCCTTTTCTTTTCTTTTTGTCTTTCTTTTCTTGTCTTTCTCCTTTCTTTCCTTTGTCTTTTCTTTTGTGTTTTTCTCCTTTCTTTCTTTTTGTCTTTCTCTTGTCTTTTCTCCTTTCTTTCCTTTGTCTTTCTCTTGTCTTTCTCCTTTCTTTCTTTTGTCTTTCTCTAGTCTTTCTCCTTTCTTTCCTTTGTCTTTCTCTTGTCTTTCTCCTTTCTTTCCTTTGTCTTTCTCTTGTCTTTCTCCTTTCTTTCCTTTGTCTTTCTCTTGTCTTTCTCCTTTCTTTCCTTTGTCTTTCTCTTGTCTTTCTTTTCTCTTATATTTCTCTTCTCTTTGTCTCGTCTTTCTTTTCTCTTGTCTTTCTCTTATCTTTCTCTTTTTTTTTTTCTCTTGTCTCTTCTTTCTCTTGGCTTCCTCTTTTTTCTAGTTTTTCTCGTCTTTCCCTTTCTTTTGTATTTCTCTTTCTTTTGTCTTTCTCTTTCTCTCTTCTTTCTCTTCTTTCTCTTCTCGTTCTCTTTCTTTTGTCTTTCTCTTTCTCTCTTCTTTCTCTTCTTTCTCTTCTCGTTCTCTTTCTCTTGTCTTTTTCTTCTTTCTCCTGTCTTTCTCCTTTCTTTCCTTTGTCTTTCTCCTGTCTTTCTCCTTTCTTTCCTTTGTCTTTCTCTTGTCTTTCTCCTTTCTTTCCTTTGTCTTTCTCTTGTCTTTCTCCTTTCTTTCCTTTGTCTTTCTCTTCTCTTTCTTTTCTCTTCTCTTTCTTTTGTATTTGTCTCGTCGTTCTTTTCTCTTGTCTTTCTCTTTTTTTTCTTGTCTCTTCTTTCTCTTGTCTTTTTCTTCTTTCTCTTGTCTTTCTCTTTGTCTTTCTCTGGACTTTCCCTTTCTCTTTGTCTTTCTCTCCTTTCTCTTGTCTTTCTCTTTCTCTTCTCTTTTTTCTTATCTTTCTCTTCTCTTTCTTTTGTCGTTCTCTTCTTTATCTCCTTTCTTGACGATGATATGGAGAAACGTCAGAATTTGAACCATTTCATTATTTGCTATCGTTTTTCTTTTTTATTCTTTTATTTAAAACTAAAAAAATCTTTTCTATCGGTACTTTTGTTACTAGCTTTCGAGCTGTGGTTGTTTTTATTTCACTTGTAACTGCCTTTTCCCCCGAATTTTGTCTTTTGATTTATCTTTATTTTAGTTTTTTTTATTTTATTTTATTTTTATTCCGCCTTCAGCGTGGATGCGAACGAACAAATATTATTTCCTCCATTCTTCGGAATAGAAAAGATTGAATTTATTCTTTATTTTCCTTCCTTAACTTCCTCCCCCTTTGCTTTTTCATTCTTATTATTTCGCTTTGTTCAGTGACTTAAGCGTTAGAAAATTTTTCCAACAGCAACAACAACAAAACGCAAAGGAAAGGATAAATGAAAAGAGAGAAAAAGAGGGGGAAAAAGTCTAAGGAAAGTTTAAATTGAAACAGCCTAAAAGAAAATAAATACAGGAAGAAGAAAAAAAAAAACGAAGAAATATGTCTTTTCAGTTTCTGGCTTTTTTCATGCAATGTTTTGTTTACTTTGTCTTCGAACTTTTCTACCGTTTCTTTTTTGTTTGTTTGTTAACTTTATCTACTGTTTGATTTTTTTTTTTTTTACTTTATCTTCTTTTGAGATTTGTGTTTACATTTCTCCCTTGTCCCCCTTCTTAATCTCTCATTCTCCCATTCGTTATTCTCTTCGTCTATATCTCTACTCTTTCCCTTTTTTTCCTTCTATTTTAAATCATTTTATGTTTCTATTTCTCTCAGAGGTTTATTTCGCCAGCTTTCTATGTGCAGTCCCTCCTTTCGTCTCACTTTTCCTATACAGTGGAACCTCGGTTCACAAATTTGATTCGTTCCTGAAGCCAGTTCGTTACCCGAATTGTTCGTAAACCGAAACTGTTTTTTTCCAGGAATCAATGTAAAAATGGATTAATCAGTTTCTGATCCCAAGATAATTGCTTATTTTAACTTTAACAGTACTTTGTGCACAAGTTTATACACACAACTCATGAAAATCATTAAATCTACGAAAAAACTAGCCCAGTACTAAAGAGTTAACATATTGACGAACACTTCAATTTTAACGTATCTGCAAGTAGTAGAGTTGATGGCGTAAGTGGAGAAGGAAGGAAAGAGATGTTATTGTTTGGAAAAAGGAAGGAAAGACATGATCGTCCCTTTATTTATAAGAATAGTATAGATCATTGATTTTTGCCATAAGAAACTGAGTAGGAAGAGGCAATATCATCAACAATTGTTTTTCTCTTAACTTTTCTTTATCCTTTACAAGTATCACTGCTAGCTTTCTTTGGAGCCATGACTGAGGACTAATGAAGAGAAAAAAAGCACAGTACAATAAAATTGGAAAATAAAAGCACAGCACAACAGAGGAATGTATTCAACATGACGGTCAGCTCAGAAATGATTCCATTCGGGTTAACTCGGTTCAGCTCGGTTCGACAATATTGTTCGAGAACCGAGGCATTTTCATCTCGAATTTTCTGGTCAAAAACAGATTTGTTCGACATGTGAGACTTTCAAGAACCGAGCTTAATCTGTATTTCGATTTTCCCGCTCCTGTTCTATCTTATACACGTTTATATTTCTTTTAATGGATTATTTCGCCAACCTATTTTGTTTTTCTACATATAATCCTCTTTTCTCTTTTTATACTTTTCTTTCTTAATTCCTATGTTCACATTCAAACTTTGATCTTTTCTTTTTTCTACGCCCTCTCTCTCTCTCTCTCTTTTTCTCATCTTTTTTTTTATTTTCTACATATCCCCTCTTTTGTTGTTTCGTACATCAAATGCCCTATATTAAGTTAAGTTTGTTTCAATAACATCTGACCTGGCGAACAACGTCCAGCCAAAGCTTTTACACTCGTCTATGTTCACACAATTCAGCGCTTTCAAGAAGATTACGAATATATCTTAAATCTCTTATCAAAACTAAAATAATAAACATTTCTGTTTTCAAACCCACCCATGAATCCTAACAAAAAATGTCCCCAACAAAATGAATTGCGCAACAACATTTACCGCAATCTTCTGTGTACTTTCTCAAAATTTGTAAATATTTACAAGCACTTGGGTATCCTTAATTTTCTCGTCAAAAACTGTTCGATATTCGCTTACACTGCCAGGATAGACGCACTAACATATCCTGAAACTATGACTGCTTTTTATATATAACTTTATAAAGTTTTTTTTTTTTTTTTTTTTTTTTTAATATAAGCTTATAATGTTTTATTTTCATTTTTTTAAATATAAAGTTATCTTTTTTTATAATATAAGTTTGTATTGTTTTTAATATAGGGTTATAATGAATTTTTAAAAATATATAATGTTATAGGATTTTTCTTTTTTTATAATAAAAAGATGTTTTTTTAAATATCCGTTTATAATGTTTTTTTTTTTAAATATGTTATGTTTTTATTTTTTTTATATAAGGTTGTTTTTTAATATATGATTATAATAATGTGCCTCCACTTTTTCTGCATAAATATTCGATACCTACGGTTTAAAATGATTTTTTAAAAATGAAAAGCATTCTTGAAGATTTTCTTTTAGATTTAATTGAAAGCTAAAGGATTAAAATTATTATTTCCAGTAAGTAAAATATTCTGGTGTATTTCAAATAGAAATTATATAGATTGGAATATCAAATTTAATTTCGATTTCTTAATTTTTTCTTAAAAGTGGACATTTTCTTAATCTTAAAAATTTGTAAACAAAAAAATTATCGATTTTAAAACTCTTCCAAAAAAGTATGTATATTTCTGACACGTTATTTGTGTCAAATTAGAAAATTTAAAGTTAAATTAATCGGATTTGAAAGAAATATGACTTACTTATAGCATAAAAATGATATGCAACCATTTGTTATTGATCGGTCATCTTTATCTGAGTTAATGATTGATTGGCGATTGAGTGACGAAGCGATGACAGCTAGTATGGTTGACTAAAATTGACATAAGATTTACGAAATCTAAGTGAAATCATTTTTTACAAATGAACATATTTTCCGCAATATCTTATAATATATTGACTTTTATTTTCCTTTCCAAGATGCTTTATGCAAAAATAAAAAAATTAATATACTATAAAATTTTATAAAATTAATTTCTCTGTAAAGAGACAAAACTCATAGATCCCGTGACCTTTTCAAAATAATGTTAAGTTTTGCCTCTCATGGATGAAAAAGGGGAGAATAATAAGTAAAAATATAAATCTATTTTAAAATTAGAATAGTGTAGTAACGTTTATTAATCTTTTTTTAATTTTGGATTCGTAAATTTCGTTTCCACTTAATTACTATATCACATCCAGAAAAGAGCCAAATACATAATTTTACACGATCGTAAACTATTATAAATTATTATAATTAAAATTTCTAAAAAACTGAAAAAAAAATCTTATAAAACTTCATTATTCATCGCAAAAAATTTATTTCTTCAGACAATAGTATCTTTAAAATGAGTTTTTTTTTACAAAAGCAATTAAATATTTTTTGGGGTTTTTTTTCTAATTAAGTAATGTCATAGTTTTATTGCATTTATTATTTTTTTTCAATTCAGAATAGATTTTCAGATAGAATAGTGCAAGTTTGAAAAGAAAAATTATGTGATTTATATTCTCCAAGGAGTCCTACTTTTAACGAATAAAAAAAATTCAGGAAATAGAAAGTTTTTTTGCGAAATCTCATGAAATTAAGTAAGTAGTCGGTAACATATGTAAAAAAAAAATATTATATTTTTACCCAAATTTTCTAAAAGAAATTTCGAAAATACTTTAATTCATTTGTGAATAAGTCGTGAACATTTCATTAAAATAGGACAATTATCTGATTTTTACAAGAATTTAAAAATCAATGTATTTCAACAGAAAAAAGCGCGAAAAAGTCAATGTAATTATTATGCCACACCGATGATATAACAAAAGAAGATTTTAACCAAAATTTCGAACGTGTTAGAACGGATAAAAAAATTAAATAGTAATCAAAGAATACTTTGTTTTTCTTCTTAATAATAACATAAACATTTTGACAATAAAACTTTATTTTTATTAGGTCTCTGACCTTTTTAATTACGCTATGCAGATCTCCAGCGAAAAAGTGGCGGGACCTAGTTATAATGATGCTTTTTAAATATAAGCTCATAATATATTTTTAAAATAAGGTTATAATATTTTAGTGTTTTTTTTAAAATATAACGTTGTTTTTTTTTTTAATATAGGTTTTATGTTTTTATTAAAATATAAGGTTTTAATGTTTTTTTTTTTTTTTAATATGAGATATTTTAATAATGTTGTTATAATGTGTTTGTTTTTAAATATAGGTTATAATGTTTTGTGTAAATGTAAGGTTATGTTTTATGTTTTATTATTTAAGTATAACGTTATCATTTTGATAGGGGTTTTAGCTGCAATATTTCAAATTATTCTGAAAACTAATGTGGAGAGGTGTTATTGGGCCTGAAAGCGGTTTTTTTTTAATAATTACCATATAAGACGGTTAATTTTAACTAAACTATTAATTGTTTAGTGTATTTTATATTTATACATTAATTATTCGCTGTTTATTATTATTATAGCTGTTATTGAATTTAATTGTGGTTATTTTTTGGTTGTTTTTGTTTAGGGGCATAACAATCACTGTGGGATATTTCATGCGGAAATCTAAATATTTTGTGCGCCATATTTTTTTTTAAGATAATAATGGTTTTAGTAATACAAGGTTACTAATTAACTCATAGCTTGGGGAAAAGAGGCAGATTCATACATTTTCCAAGAGTATTTGCATATATGAGATTATAGCGAAACAAAATGGAATTGGAACTTGCTCGCAGATTAACAATTCCTGGTCATTATTATTATATTACCCAATACTTACCTGAACATTCAAGCTTACAGCACCTGGTATTCCCAAGCGGTCACCTGCCAAGATACTGACCAGGCT